GTAAGCCCTGCATTGGGCATAGAGGACCGAGAGGCATTGTGAACGATTTGACAGTGAGCGATAGCCGAGAACGGCTTGCTTAAGTGCGAGAAAATTTGTGTGTATGCGCCTGCTTAGGAATTGAGCTTAATCCCAGCGTGAGTAGGCCCAGCAGCAGTCGCACTATCCTGAATACTCAAGGAATTTAAAGGCTCATTAGGTGACCGCAGGGGTAAAGTTCTGTGGAAGCAACACAATGTATGAACTAAAATTTGACGAGGTCGGTACAAATACTTATGCCGAGCGCAGGCTGTGAATAACATCCCAGTCGTGAGCTGAAGTCGGGCGGCATAACGCAAGTGCGGGGAGGATAAAGTGCTGCGTCGGCTACTTATCTTTCAGAGTGCGTAGATCAGTCCCCCTGAGGGATATGTACTGATTAAGTAGCTTTTATTCCATATAAATCACATACAAATTTCAAGGGTAACTTGGGGTGATCTGCGGTGCTGGCTCACGCCAACACAGTAAAGCACCGTATGGATGTAAAGAAACGGACGAAGGGAGTGACAGAGGTGGTATGCGAAGAGTCTGTGTGTCGTTTACCCATCCCACACCCAACTAATATTAGTACTAAGCTCTCCGCTTTACTACTAAGGCATGGTATTTGTACACGACACCACTAATTATAACAAACGATTGTAAATGAACAACAAGATATTGGTATATGATACCATGAAAAGCTTCAGACCTGGTGTAGTTAGAAACCACCGTCATTGGTGTCTTAGACCACGGCGGGAGGGTTGTTGATCCAAGCATTGATCTCGGGCTGCTCGAGCATAACGAGGGTTAGACTTCATCATTATGCTATCCTGTTGGCAACATACCATAACTGCGGGGCCAGCATTGGGTGACCTGTAGCCGAAGACGGGGATCAGAGTCTTGTTGTATCGACGCACTTCGAAGAGGTATAGGTGTTCCATCTCGATGCACCCAGGGCCGAACGTGAAGGTCCAGTCGTGGTCGTCAGTAGGCTGTGCCTTGGCAAATGATCACGAGTATCTCAGGACACAGAGGGTCTGACGGGGCTTGCGCACTCACCTGGTTCAGAAACGCGAACATCGCGTCTGCAATGCAGCGAACTACTTTATGCCGCGGGACAGGCGTCGGCACACCACCACGTACGCGCTGCACGTTTTTGACCCGACGGAATATCCTATGTCCGCGTATCTGAAGCCTAATGTGAGTAACGAAAAGTCATGCGATACAAGGAACAAGCTGCCCACGGCAATGACACAAGTGACCTTGACGTAGCTGGCGGGGCATAGCTCATCGTCTCGTCCGTCGAGACCTTCGAACCGCCCGATACGGGCATCTAAGAGTTTCATTCCAGGGACGCCGTGGCAAGAGAAGAACCAATGGTCGTGCTTATGTGGTCCCATGGCGGCGTGCTGAGGATGCTGGTAGTGCCCGTTAGGCACTAGGTGGAGATCGGTATGTGCGGCCATGGCGAGGAAGAGAAGATGGTGGTAGTAATTTGTGTGGAATTATGAGTTCGTTCGGATGAAGCCAGGGGTCCGCTAAGGGTTTATGAGTGTCGCCGAATCCCATTTTCCAACAAGATGGGCCGACTTTCGTGAAGATTGTCTGGACATTGTTGCCCGATCCTGTCGATGACCGTGCCGTGCAGAGCCCGCCGCCATCAATATGAACGCTCGGACGGCTGCGGGCAGTTCTGGCGGTCGAGACCACGAGAAGCCCTGGATGCGACGATCAGTCGGTACGCGATTCCGCAAATGAGGACACTGACCGCCAACAGTCCCGTTTCAGCGCCTAGCTTGCAAAGGCTTTAGGCCCAGCACAGAAAAATTCTAGTGTGATAATCACAGTAGGAACGAGCTCTGGGAGAGTTGCCTTGCCACAGTATTCGTCGCCGCAGTATCGACATTGTGACGAAAAGCGACCGGAAGACAGGCGAGACACTTATGTCTTCTCTTCGGGAGCGTGCACACGGGGCGTTCGGAAGTGATGGTGGCTTTCCACTTCGAGTTTCAGCCGTCGCGACCGAGCTATGTGGAGGAAGGAATGGGGGAGATTTGCGAAGATGATCCATCGCAGGTCCTTCAGGATGTCTTTCGTCTTCTCCCGCCGGTCATCTAGGGTCTTCCTGCGTCGACGCAGTTCGGAGTCAACGTGAACATAGCCGGTCCTGCACGATCGCTTACAGCGTTGAGCTTACTCGGTGCGGGACACGTGGAAAACCCACCACCGTCGCCGCTGCGCACTGTCCCCGCCGCTTGCAATTCGCCAGCCTTCACCTTCGGAACTCATGGCAAATAGGCGGTGTGTCCCGTAAACAAACGAAGGTGCCGTTGACAAGCAGCGAGCACGTGTAGGCTGTATACCCCATACGGTAGGCATGTGCCATGATACCTGTTCCCAGGAGATAGGTAGAGGACACGGAGATTAGGGCGGATAGCGTTTGTAGATCAGACATATCGACGAGCATACTGCTTTAGAGTAGAAAAGGACACTGTGGATATCGACACGCACCAGCAGTACCAGCTGCCAAGTACTGGGCTGAGTTCGCGACCATGGCCGACGAGATGGTCGAGAGCGACATGGCTTCAGAGGACTCGACTCTGGGCGGCTGGCTCCGCCCGTGGCTGCGTCGGTAGCTGCCGGAGACGGATGCAATGCATTGCAGTGGCGTGAGAGCGGGGGCCTTTTGTCGGGCCGACCGGAGGACGCATAGAGAGTAATGCGGGGCCTCGGCCAACTTCGAATGTGACGGCTCCTTAGAGCTTCCGACCCGCAGATTACGGACTCTCCTTCCGCGTCGGGTCCCGACGGCCATTTTGGGTACGGATCGCCGATTGTCAAAGTTCCTTCTACACCTAACCAATTGCAGAACAAAGGTTGGTATCGATCCTCCCGCGAAGGGCGCGGCCGATATTCGAGCTACAGCAGAAATCGCGCGCTATGTCGTAAAATGTGCTGCAGTGAACCCGCCCTCGGTTTCCTTCTGCTGGCACCTGCGGGGCTCGTCGTTGATTGGAAACATCTCACTGCGCCTCTATGTGCAGCGTCAGTGCGGCGGAAGTTCGTGTGGAACATTTCTCCTCGGAGGGGGAGCAGGGTAACGACGACGACGATGCCACGCACGGAAGCGAGCAAGATGTCGAGCGAGCTCAAACTCCTGTTCATACGGTCTAAGCGACATGTTTCATCATAGAGTGACGGTACTCTTGTACCCTTTGATGCGCCGAGGTTGAGATATTTGTGGGGTTGAAGGGTGTACGTGGCCTTCGGTAGTACCAGGCGCGGTTGGTCACGACCGGACCAGGCTGATGAGTTTAGTAACAGGGTGATGTAATGGCACTAGTACTCTCGCACCGATGAAGTCAGCTGAAACGTGTCTCGTCAACTAACAGTAGGCCGGCTGCGTCCCAATTCTTGTGGATGGCGGCTCTGCATGGTATACGATAAATTCGTGTCTCCGGCTTGCAAGCAAGATGTATTCCCGAACATCGTGACAACAGGCACGGGCCGGCTCATCAGGCATGAAGTACAGGCAGGTGCGTTGCAAGAATTGCAGCCAAGGCCGCTGTCTTCGCTGTCTCTTACGGTCCACTCACATCTTTGCACTTCGGGTCATGTAAAATCGATCGCTCACAGCAGCGACACTGACTGGCCCCCGCAGAGGAGATTAGCCGCTGCGTCGCGGCCTCAGCAAAGCATTGGAATAACAGTCGTGAGTCTAGTGGGCAAAGTACCATCCAGGGAGCCAGAGAACATCGCTATTGATGTATAAAATGTCATGGCGAAAGGCTTGTCGAACTGGGATGGCAAGGGTTTACATTAATCATGCGAGCCTATTAGTCACGCGTACCGCGACCGTAGGAGGGACGTAGCCAAAGATTGGTACCAAGGTCTTGCCGTAACGCTTAGCCTCGAGCAGATAGAGATGTTCCGTCTGGATGCCTCCAGGGCCAAACGCGAGGGCATCGTCGTGGTCGTCTGCGGGCCGAGCCTTGACATAAACGGTAATAAGCATGCCAAGACACAAGAGTTCAGACAAGACCGCTGCACTAAGACTCACATGGTTTATAACCCCTGCGTAGCTTCCGCAATGCACTGGGCCGATCTGAATCGTGGGACAATCAAAAGGCGCCAGCTGGCCAGACCGCCGAATCTTGGCAGCTCCTGGCCAAGAAGCGCACCGTCCTTGCCTTGCCCAGGAAGGTCCAAACCTGGCTGGCCCTGTTTGTCCGGATGCGCCGTGCGTATTGTTAGCACGGTTCTATATGCTCGGATGCGCGATGTGTATTGTCACTATGGTCCAATTTGTTCGGGATGCGCGGTGTGTATTGTCAGCATAGTCCTACCTGTCCGGATGCGCCCGGATATGTGCTGCTGACACCCCGATTTGCTCTATGCAGTATCCGCTTCCGCTACTGGAAAGCATCTCTTCTTATTCTCAACCTGCTTCTTGTCTTGTTTTATATGTCGGGATCGTTATGGCGACGAGCACGACACGGTTCGAGAGGTATAATGCCTCCCTGGAAGCTGACAATATGTACGCTGAGGCCTACCCTTGCATCGCCTTCCAGGTTACCCTACCTTTCTACTGCAGTTACTAAGCAACGGGGTGCGGCTCCGTTACGCTTCCATGTTGCGGAAGCACGTATTGCGGCCCGTACTCAGTTTCCGTATTCAGGGCCCGCGTGATACCAAACACTGAGCCCAGACTAGTCGTCCTCCGTCGAACATCCCAGCTTCAGGCGGCCCCAACCGCGTCAGATACTCTAATTTTACTCGTGATTGTGGTTGGGGCCTTTCGGTGGGTAGGCCAGCACAGGCGGGGTATCTCTCTATCCGGCAAGTACTCTCATCCAGCGGCCCTTCATGCGATGCGCTAGCTTATGCCCGTGCTGGACGACTCGAAGATCTCAACGAGCGATGAGGACCTGTTCCCCGCGAGCTTCGTCAAGGTTATCGTGCTCATCGCCGTGCGCAGCTCGGCTGCTACATTTCCGTGACACGTCAGCGCTCACATTAGGCTTCAGCTACGCAGATATCAGGTGCACCGGCAGGTCGAGAATGTGTAGCGCATCCGTGGCGGCGTGTCGCTGCCAGTTAGCGCGCGCGTTTACTAGACGCCGTCAGCTCTCGCTTTGCCCTGCCCATTCACCACCAGGCAAGTCTTCAAGCTTCAAGTCGTGCACAAAGCTCGCTGTGTTCAGATTTTCAAGCCTCTTCTCCTTTTAACAACGTCCTCCTTCGACTGCACTTACCATGTCCGCACGTCACTTTTGCTTCACTGCACCATCCCCGCCGTCCGCCGTCTGACTGTGCAATGAAAGAGTCTGCAGCCAGGCAATAGCTCTAATACAAGGAGCGGCATCAAGAAAAATCGTTCGTGGTGCTTCCAAAACTCTTTTGCTCGGCTTCGATCTTCCAGCGCCTTCATGGAAAGCAGGGGTCCTGCCCTGCCCTCGCACGAGCTTAGCCAGATACACGCCAACTGCTGTCGTTCCGGAGAAGGATTAGAAACGCGCCGAAAGCCGACGCAATTATTTGGATGAATACCAGTCCAGGCGGAATGCGCGTTGGACATGCTGACGCCATAGCGACCTTCGTACAAGCTGCCGGAGATATCATGTACAACAGGTCTATCTTTGGCTGGGGCTCGCACCAACGGAGAATCGAGCCGTAGTGGCGAGCGCGCTTCGTAGCGAGTCGCTTTGCTAGCAGTCCTACTGCACTCCTATGTACACGTATGTAGCCACATTGCGTGAGCTTCCTGGCATGCCCCACGAGGAGAAGGCACGCTGCACATGTAGGAACGCAAGTTGCGTGGATGAGAACCTCATATGCACTCTCCCGGCAGGCGACTGCAGAGACAACGCTACGTGAACGATTTATTGTTAATCCCGCTGAACGCCGCGCTTGACTACAGGTAATGCCCGGAACATGGATGGTAGGAGATGCCGGGGCAACCCCGGTGAGCTTCCGAGAAAGGCAACTGTCGTGTTAGTTCAGAGATGCTCGGCAGCTCTCTGCCAAAAGACAAGGAATCCCAGTGGCTTCTCGAGTCGTAGACAAAAATGTATGCCTTGCATCCGCAGGACACTGTGTGTTGCACACAAGTAAAATTCCCTGATCAGTGCTACATACAGTTATATTCTCTGCCGTGCGACTCCCCCGTAGGTCCCACGCGAGAGCCATTCCAGGTATTCAGACAGGTTACGCTCCCTTGCTATTACAAAATTCGCTCTTATGCTCGACAGACTAAGGAATTGATACTACCAAACCAAAAGGGGGCACTGTATAATCGATGTCGAAACCCTTAGAGCTGAGGCTGCCAGAAAACATCACTGTTGGCAGTGAAGGCCGTAGCGAAAGCCTCGTCCAGCTCGGTATCAAGTCCGGGCTGCTGAGGGCATTAACGATAGTCAGGATTTGTTCTCCTGCAAACTCGCTAACGACGCACTGCAGTTGCGGGACCTGGCATCGGCTGCTGTAAGGGTAGCAAGGCTCAGACGTCAATTCTAAGTGGAATTATTGGCCGAATACCATGACTGTGAGGCCTGCGTCGGGCGGGGTATAGCCAAAGACGGGTATCAGTGTCTTGCCGTACCGGTGCAACTCGAGGAGGTAGAGGTGTTCTATCTGAACGCCCCCAGGGCCAAACATAAAGCTGCCGTCGTGATCGTCCGTAGGGCCGGACCTTGAGATAATGAATTGTGAGTATGTGAACACAAAGGAGGCTCTGACAAGACCATCGTACTCACCTGGTCCAAGAACGCGAGCATCACTTCCGCGATACAACGAACGACCTTATGGCGTGGGACGGGCACAGGCACGCCATGACGGACGCACTGAACATTCTTAACTCGGCGAAACACTTTGAATCCGTGTATCTGAAGTCCGGTGTAAGCGACAGCAGACACGTGAACACAAAGGGCTAACTGCGTACGAGGATGAGGACCGTAACCTTAGAGAAGCTGGCAGGGAACAGCGCGTCGTCGTACCCGGTGAGCTCTTGGAGTCGGAATCGGCCAGCACGAATATCTGCGAGACTAACTCCCTCGATATTGTTGCAAGAAAGAGTCCAGTGATCGCGATCGTGCGGGCCCAGGATAGCAAGGCGGGGATGGTGATAGGACACGTTACGCAGGTATCGAAGGTTAAATCGTGCAACCATGTCTGCAGAGGATTGGTGGAGGAGATGGCTGGTTCAGTTGTGTGGCGTAGTGACTCGAAAGGATCTGGGGGCCGCGGTGTTTTATAGGCTCGCAGAACCCTTGTTCTAAGAGGACGGATATATTGCGAGCATCATCTTGAGCATCTGGACATCACTGCCACATAACATTGGCATGAGCCGCAGGTCATGAATTTCCATCACCTCTGCCATGAGAAGATGCTGAAGAAATTAGCCGGTGTACTGCTGCCTCTCTGCCCAGATAGTGAGCTGGGATGGTTGTCGATGTACAGAAATGGCCCAGCTGCACCGATGACATCTGCAAGCAACACAGCAAACCACTGTTTACATTCAGCCGGAGCCGGCTCTGTACGCCCAGAAATGACGAGATTCGCCGTCTGAGGCCGGTGTGTTGTGCGAAAGTTTCTGCCGCGCTGCGGCAAGGCGTCTAACTTGGGACAGTTCGCTTCTCCGGACACGACTGCGTAAATCACTTCCTTTTGAGCGATTCTCAGGATGGCAGGCGATGCTAGTTTCAGCGGAATCGGAGCGACGTCTGCTTGGGGTGATGCCGGTCACAGCGGAGAACGGATAACGGATAAATTAGAGACCGAACGGCGCTTACATAAGCACCGGGCGGCAGCCCGCCACCGCCGCGTAGCTAGGCGTCAAGGCACCTAGGGATACAGAAACCTATGTACCAATGGAGCCAAATTGCTACTTCTGGCTACCTGAGTCTTCATCGTTGCACCTGCGTCATGGTGACCGTCCACAATACATCAGGAAAAAGACTTAGGTCCACAATGCTACAATGTGCTACAGGAGCATTTTGGAGCACTATGGACCCAAGTCCTGTTTCCTGATGTAGAGAATGCTTGCCCGGAACACCGCACGTCAGAAACAGAACGATATGCGGCGGAAGATAGATCTCTTCATGATAGAGAAGCTTCCCCTCTTCAAACAATCTTCTTGCATAGCTCTCAGGCTACACTGTATCCCGTATAATTTACCGCATGCCGGACATCGTGTTCCAACACACTGTTCACGCGATATAACGCTAGTAAAGCGTCATCGTCCAAACGGATCATAACAGTGTCAGGTACAGTGCCGTCGCGAACGGATTTATGTCGGAACTCGCAATCCGCCAAG